TAGAAACATGGCTTGGGCTGAGTCTTTGATGCAGAGTCATGCCCTAGGAATGTATCTCATTCTGCTTGTGAAGCACAAAATGTACGTTGTGTTAGCAGTGGGATCTTCAGAAATCACCTGCATTTGCACATGATTTAACAACAAACTTTGACAAGACTCCAATTTCCTGTCTGCTCTGCTTCTGTTAAAGTACCTACTAGTGAAGCAGGTAAAACTTTACAAAGGTGGACCCTGGGAAAGGAGAAGTCTCCCAGCTTGTTTTTTCAAGATCCAAAACGCCAGGTCAGCATCAAGGCCAGCCAAAAGAGACTGTGAATCGTGTCTGTTTTCCACCATGGTCCTGCTGTCTGAAGTATTTAATGAAGCAACAGCTCTGTAATTTTGCATTGAGCTCGTGGCCAGAAGGGAGTTGCCAAGATCTTTGGGGAAAGGCCAGGCTGGCACCTTAGCAGAGGGAAAGTTGCTGGAAGGGGGATGTGTGAGTGGAGGAGTTTGGGCTGACCGGTGCATTTACGATTTCTGAGAATATCCACTTGTGTCCTTTGTTCCCTGACGAAATATGGGTACATGCCATTGGCAACTTGAGGGCCATGGAGATTGAAGATTGCCTGTAGTGAAATAGGGAAAGGCATGATAAATTGAAAAATAACTAGTTTTTATCAAATCAAACAGCCACAGCAGACACCAATTTTACAGCGCGTCCCAACACATGACACTCAGCGTGGAGGCAGGAGCTGGAGCCTCTTGATTCCTAAAGCAAAAGTGACCAAAGCCTGACCCAGGTGTCCCCAGAAATTGCGGTTCCCAGTGGAACTCGTGAGGTTTTGACCACAGACTGTTACAAATCTGGCTGTTCCTTTATAGCTTGGGCTGTATCTTGGGCAGCTCTGCCCGTGGTCGGGGCCCTGGCCAGCCTGCCTCAGCTCGCTGCCGGCCCCGAGCTCCGCACACGGGCAGCGCAGGATTCTGTGTGGCTGACAGCAGCAGAAAGCAGGAGAGTTCGTGGCTTTGATGTTTCTTTTGCTTTTTTTCCTCCTGTTCGTAGGGCCTTTTTCTGAGGCAACCAGGGAATAAAACAAACATGGCTGAAATCCCAGACGCTTGCCATCTCGAATTCCTTAGCTTGGAGTTGACCGTATTTCAAGTTAGGTTTTGGATGCGCTCTGACCCAGGGGCCGGTGGGGTTCCTCATGCTCTGTAACCTGCCACCTTCCCCACCTCTCAAATGACATGGCTTACAACAAATTCTAAGGTATAGGGGGGAAAAAAAAAATCTGTGATGAGTGGTCACAGGCTGCAATGGGGATTCAGTGGGGTGGTGGGATCTCTGACCTCAGAGATACAGAAAGCTCAGCCTGCTGCCGCCCTCGGCAAGCGGGCCTGGCTGCGACGCTGCCGGCGTGTGGGGCGGACGGTTGGGACCCTCCCAGCTGAAGTTATGCAGAGATTCCATGACAAAGCTGCACCAATGCTTACACTGAGGTAGGACAGCCTGGAACAGGACTGCAGCTCCCCTTTCAGCAGCAATTTTTGTTTAAAGAGGCTCAAAGTGTTTGTTGACCCCCCTTCCCTTTGGTGTGAACTCTGAGAGTTTCAGGAGCTGTCAGCCTTGTGGGTGCCCAGGGCTGTCCTCTGTGCCAGTACACACACACTGTGGGTTTTCCCTGACTTGGCAGTGCTGGAAATAATTCAAAAAATTATTTAGTTTGCTTAAGGGAAATTCTCTTGGGGCAGGATACGTAACCTTTCCCATGCTACCTTAGTGCACATGCTTTGATAGAAGCAATGTAGTACTTGGAAGGAGGGTACTACCCTGCCAATAATTTTTTCCAAACCAGGCTTCTTAAATAGAAGGCAAAGGGTTTGATAAAATAGTAACAACCTACATTAACTTCATATTTAAAATCCATCTTCTTCATAACTGGGTTTGTGCTCTGAGGCCAGGGTTTGTTCCCACTCTTGTGACTGGCACCTTCAGGAGAAAGGAGGGGAAGGGACATTGCAGAGCTCGGAGCCCTTCCCAGGAGACCTTCGCTCTGGTGGCATAAGGGCTTTGTGCACTTTAAGGACAATGAGCTTTCTCATTTCCCTCAGACAAAACAGGCCATTAAAAAGCCAAATCTTTGGGATTTATGTCTTCCTGCATCACAAAATGTTACGATAGAAAAATCTGAATTTTTTTATAGTTTGGCATAGGATACAGAAGGCCCACGGGGCTAGTTTCCCCCACCCACCTACAACACATGCTGTAATGGTGGACGCAGTCAAATTAAGCGCTGTTTACTGTGGGCACAGTGGGAAAGGGAGAGCTGAACCCAGCATTGCCCAGGGGGTGGGGGTCCCATCCGAGCTCGCGAGCAGCATGGTGGGGTGCAAGCCGCTCGCTAGTGGGGCTCCTCCGGAGCTGGGTGTGTGAGCTGGTGCGGCGGGAGGAGCGTGGCTGTGCCACCGGAGCCGTACCCGGGCTCTCGCCACCGCCCAGCCCGATGCCACGGTGCCTGGCCAGCTGTGTCTGTCCCCACAAGCCGGAATTCGGCTCCGTGGCCCCCCTCTACCAGAAGGCCAGAGTGCCAGGGACATGACCCCCTGCCCTGTGCAAAGGGAGGGGAGGTGCTCTCCACCCATCGCCTCCTGCCAGATCTGTGGCCTCGGGAACACCGTGCCCTTCTTCAACGTCCCTGAGGGCAGCGGACCACAGCAAGTGGGTGACACAGGATGTACAGAGGGTGTCAAAAGGTGAGGGAAAAGGCCCAAATAGGAAAGGGAGCTTTTCCTGGCACGAAGGCAGGGAGGAGCCTGCTTTCTGGAGGATCTGTAAGCAGAAACCCTGGCTGGAAATCGGGCTCGGGCAGCTCACCTCTAATGTGGGCATCCGAGCAGAGCTGCACCCAGTGATAGGGGTCAGGCAGGCTGGTGTCCCCACAGGGGCTAAATGCAAGCAGTACCAACAGCAAATCTCCAAAACAGAGGTAAACCCAGGGGTTGGCAGAAGGAAGATGCAGAGAATCCCCTGGGCTGAAATTGTGCACCTGAATTACTTTGATGCCTTCGCGTGCCCACGCACAGCCCAAAATAACCCGCAGTGCTGAAGGGGCTGGCAGTAAACTGCTCCCATGGGGAGCCCTTCACCGTGGGGGTGACCTCACAGTAGTGTTTTTGTGAGGGCTGGGGTCCCCCAGGTCCCCCACCACAGCTGGGGCCCCCCAAGTCCCCCACCGCAGCTGGGGCTGGTTGCCCTCCCCAGCCAGGGCCCGGCGAGTTTGGGCACCACAGACCATGCCTGGGATCTCATCAACCCCCCCCCAGGCAAACCCCAAAGCGGGCCACCCTCGCTGCCAGCTCTCTGATGTTCTCCCTGCTCCACATAATCTCTTCTCCCCACCTGCTGAATAAGAAACCCCCAGTTTCTGCTCAGTGCCTCCAAACCACATGAAAGAGAGGTGCCGTGGGGAACCAGAGCTCTTCCCACCCCCAGTGAAGGCTCTGTGTGCTGAACACCAAACACCCAGCTTTTGGCAACTGCAGTACCCTGGGCTCTTGTTTTTTTTTCTCTTTCAGATGTATGGCCACAATCAAAAATATTAAATAATCCCCTGATAAATCAATGTGCACATTCTTAATTCATTGCAAGTTCCTTTCCTTTCCAATTAACTTTGCGACGATTTTTTTTCTTTTAAAAAGCAAAACATTCTTTTTATCACATAGGTATTTTGTTTCAAGTTCAACGACTGGATTGTTAAATGCCTTGAACACAATTATTTTTGCTTATCCTGTTGTGAAGGTTCACCTATCTGGTTTGCTGCTGTGACAAAAGAGGTCAGGTTTGTGCCCAAATGGCGGGTGCAGTGCTTGCAGAATTAGGTACTCCCTAGATCTTGGGAGTCAATGAATCAATGATGCTTCATGTGCTCCAAACAGCTTCATGTGTTTAACTTCCCTGGTCCACCATTATAGCCTTAACCTCTCTTCTGTGGGACTGCTCCATCGCAGGGAGGAAAGATTCAGAAAAGTTTTCCAAGATTCAGCTTTAGATTTAACGTTTGTCTTGTTTAATGCTTCTAGCACTGGGTTAAACCCACCTTGCTCGTTGTTCATGTTCTTGAGGACACATTTACGCTATTTTGCCTTAGAGATTTGTACCTTTGCAGATAGGAAGCTTCTCTATCAGCCCTCCTTGCCGGCTTTACTCGTTATTTGCGTTTTGAATTCCCTCCGTTACATCTCTCAAGCGTTGGCCGAAGCAGCCGACACATCCCCGGGGAGCCCCCGGCAGCTCCGGGCGCTCAGCGCCGGCGGCAGCGCCCTGGGGAGGGGGAGCTCTGCAAACGCCTTTCCCTCCCTTTTGGGAAATAAGGATTCACTTTTTGGTGCCGGCAATTTTTTTACCGTCGTTTAGACGCCGGTCACAAGTAGGTCACGGAAATAAGGAGCACGACGCTCGCCCCGCTCACGCGGGGGCCGTGGGCGAAGCAACCTCCCCACGAGGCAAACGTCCCCGCAGCTGGCGGGGTTGGCGCTCGCCGGTTTGCCGCGCTCCGCGGTTACACCGTCCCGGTCAGGGCTGCCCGCCGAGCCGCTTCCCGCGGGGACCGCCAGGTGCCGCCGGGCCCCGGGGGGGGCGGCGGCCCGCGGGATGCCCGGCCCCGGGAGCCGCTCGGGACGCGTCCCCCGGCGGCGCGGCCCCTTTAAGCCCTGCCCCCACCGCTCGCGCTCTCCAGTGTTGGCGGCACAAAGCTTCCCGCGAACGTGACGTCACCGCCTGCACCTCCCTCTCCCGCCCGCCGCCCGCTCCCGAGCCCGCGCCCGCGCGCGGCCACCCTCCCCACCTCCCTGTTCGTCCCCTCCTCCACGTGACCCCGCGCCGCGCCGCACGCCGATTGGGCGAGCCGATGGCGTAGTAGGAGTGACGCGGCGGCGGCGCGGGGAGCCATTGGCCGGGAGGCGACGGGTGGGAGGTGGTGCGGCGCCCCGCCCCCTTCCTCCCCGCCCCCCTCCCCCGGGTGTGCGCGAGGCGGCGGCGCGTGGCAGCGGCGGCTCCCGCCGGCGGGCTCTGAGGGGCGAGCGCGGGCGGCGGCGACCCCGGCCCGGCCCGGCCCCGCCATGACCGACTTCAAGCTGGGGATCGTGCGGCTCGGCCGGGTGGCCGGCAAGGTGAGCGCGCCGCGGCCTGAGGGCGCCGAGCGAAGGAGGGGGGGGGGGGCGCGGCCGGGTTGCTGCGGGCCGGGCTCGGCCGCGCCGGGCGGCGGGGCCCGGGGCTCGGACGGGAGCGGTGGTGCCGGGGCCGTGCTGCCGCCGGAGGGGCGGGAGGCGCGGGCGGGCCGGCCGGTGCCGCCGGGAGGGGAGGGGAAGGGAAAGGAGGGCCGGGCCGCGCCGGGCGGTCGCGCTGACGGCGGGGCCCGCGCTGTGTTTCAGACCAAGTACACGCTGATCGACGAGCAGGACATCCCGCTGGTGGAGAGCTACTCCTTCGAGGTGAGGGGCCGCGCCCCCCGCTCCTCCTCCCGCCCCGCTCCCCCCCGCCCCCCCGCTGCTACCCGGCCCGCTCCGCGCCGCTCCGGGTGCCGCTGTCCTGACCCCGAGCCCCTCCCGGGGCTCCCCCCGACCCGGCCGCCAGCCCCCCCTTCCTCCCGCCGCCGGGGCCCCTTTGCCGTCGCCCCTTGGGCCGCAGGTGCCTGCGGGGGGGCAGCTCGCAGCGCTCCGGGGGTGCAGGTAACTGCCATCTCTTGCTGAAGGTTGGTTGGTTTGTTTGTTTTCTTTCCTTCTTTCAGTGTGACATGCTTAAATAAAACTGCTTATGGAAGCTTTCAGCCCCGTAACTGTCCTGATTTTGGGGGGGAAGTTTGAAATTATCAAAATACCGATGTGAATGCTTTCCAGCAGGAAAAGTTCTGGATTTTCGTTTTAAACGAGCATTAGTTTAGAACAAATTCATTTATTATATAGTTTTTTGTTTCTGGCTTTCTATCTGTGTGCTTTTTGAGAACTGATAATTTGTCTTGTTTTATTCGGTTTGGCAAACTTTAAAAATTTTCACTCGGCACATAGTTTTGGATGGGAAAAACTTCTTTTATTGTAACTTACTATAGGACCAGAAAAAGTGTTTTCTCTTAACATCCACTGAAAGAGGGTAAGTGGTTTCTACCAAAGCTTTGGAAGGGAAAGAATTCTTGATTACAGAAATCTTCTGAAACTAATGCTTTTTTTGGAAGAGGGACCGTCTTTTGCTCAGTGCCTGCAGTGCAGTGGGTATTTCAGAGCTGCTCTTAGGAGTTCAAGTGCTATGGCAGTGCTGCTACCAGAAAACACTGTGTTTGCCCGTTTCTCCTCGGAGGTAGCTCGCTGTAAGCGCGTGCCATTGCCGAGAGTGGTGGTACACTGCACCTATCCTAAACTCACCCAGTCCTTAGTGCAGGTCATGAGCATTAGTGCCAGCACAGAGTTGTGGAGTGGAGAAAAGAGAGCAGGACCGCTCCTTTCACTAGCAAGCCCTAATTAAATTGGTGTAAAGCAACACTGAAAACAAAGCCTCGGTGCCTTGCTGATGGCTGTACAGAAAATCTGCTCCAGAGTGGAGAATGGATCCTGGCCCTGCAGGCTCACAACTGGATTGTTGCTGTTCTTTGTCCGAGCAGGACTCCTGCTGTGCACAGCCTCCTTTCTTTCCATTCCCATCTTCACAAACGACAATAGCAGAGCTGGTTGGTTCCCCTCGGAGGTTTGAAACAACTCAAATTCCGTTAAGGTCAAGTGACCTCTAGGAGACAAGTGTTAAGTATTGGGTCCTTCCCGCATCCCAGTGGAGCATGTGCTCTGCTGCTCAGTGTTGAATGTTCTCACAGCCTTTCCCTTTTATTTAGGCTCGGATGGAGGTAGATGCTGATGGAAATGGTGCTAAAATATTTGCTTACGCGTTTGACAAAAATCGTGGAAGGGGATCCGGCCGACTCCTGCATGAGCTGCTTTGGTAGGTATTGTAAGGAGAGCTGAATATGTTAAGGGTTCACTAAAGTGGAGTTTGCTACCATCAACTTGTATGTTGTTTATTTCTGTGTGTGTAGTATTTTAAGTCTTGTCAGGAGGCTTGCAGCTACACTCAGTTGGATACCCAGCACTGGGGGTTCCCATAGATCTTACTATGGTTTGATTTTGCACTAAGCCTTCAAATAGCTGAGTCGCTGTAAAAATGTTATTCCCAGGGAAAGCAGTGATAGGTGAGTATTATTCTAGTAGACACTGTTTAAATCTGAGAAATGCTACTAAAACTTCAGCTGGGCAGGGAGGAGCCAGGGACTGGCTCCATTTAATAGGTGAATACTAACCTTTTGAGGTTTGTTTTTGTTTTTTTTTTTCCTCCCATGATAATCAGGTACATCTTGTTGGCACCAGTGAGAACTGGCAGAGCACTGGAGAGAGATGGAATCTCTGATAACTTAAAACTGTGGGGTTTTTTGTTTGGCCGTCTGGAAAGCTGCCTGAAGTGATGCTGATGATGCTTCATATCAGCTGCTGTGTCTTATTTTCCTTAGATTCTGCGAATCATTGCTTGATAACCTTTGTAGCTGCCAGTTTAGATTCAGAGGCCAACTTACTTGCTTGTGAGAGATTAGTTCATCCAGTGAGCTAATACATTGCTCTTTCTAGATATGTTCATGGGTTTGTAGAAAATATAGAGTACGCTAAAGAGAACTGTTGTTTCCTTCAAAAGCTGTTTTTTGAGAAATTAAACATGTTTTCTATTCAGTTCCATAAAATGTACTTGGAAGTCACAGTCCCCAAGACAGAGCTGTGCTTTCTTTATTGTTCCAGATTACTTTTATTCCCCAAACTAGTGTCTATACAAGAGGAGGAAGGCAGGAAGAATAGCAGAGACTATTACTATTATTTACAATCTGCTCACTAAATATGGATTTTAACCTTCATCTGTTAATGTTTAATCTTGTTGTACATACAACTTTGAAAATTATTATGGCAGTATGTGGGATAAATCACTGTCAGCTACTGCTAACTGAACCTCATACAGTAATAACTGTCATCTGTAAGTAGCACTGAACAGCACCTGAAAATTAGTCTAGCTGACTGTTGAAGGTGGTGTAGATGATGATAGTCCAGCTGTTTGCTTATTACGGAGCCCAGTCGTTGCCTCTTCTGGTTTGTTTTACTCAAATTAGGAAATAATTCTAACATTTATTTAGGTAATTCAAATTGTGTCACTCTGGCATGAAAAAAATCTGAGATTGTGTGTGTGATAGAGATTTCTGAAAGTCACAAAGGTGGGGTGTAAATAGGCAAGTGGAACTGGAGTTCTGAAGTTGCAAAGTCAAATTCTTCCACTAGAAAATAGAAAATATTTCAGCTGTTTCTGTAAATTCAGCTTGATCCCTTTGAGGGTGTATGTTTTGCTGTGATCTTTAATTACAAGCTGACACAAGGCACGTTAGTATACCTTTGTGACTGAGTCTTCTAATGTCTTTACATAGTCTTGGCTACGGGTGCTATGTAGTTACTGCTCCTCCTAAACAGAATAGGCACATTGTTCAGTTTTACTTACCTGTACTGGGGACTGCTTTGAAAACAAAACAGAAATGTATTTTAGTGACAGAACCTTCTCTTTGTGAGAAGGAGTAATGCTGAAGGTTTTGGAGCCTTTGAAAGACAGGAGAGATGGGCAATATCAGTCATTTCTTCCAAATTACTCAAGAAGTAAGTCTGGCACTGGAAAGAGTAAAGAACTTGAATTAGTGTAGGTACAGGAATGTAATTTCATTGTTCTTCCCCAAACGTACCCTAAAAAATCAGCTTACTCTGAAAAAGCTAACCTGATTGTGTGCTTCTGGTTTAACATTAAGTGAGTAGACCTGTGTTGGATGCTATTGCAAGTAAAGCAGTTTTAAATTTTTTGTTTTTTAATTTTGGTAAGCAGGTATCATTGTTCGCATAGTATGGCTTTTGGAATAGGAAGCTGGTAACTTCCAAAGCTGCAGCAATGACAGGGACCTTCTCCTGTTCTTTCCCCAAAGCCCTCCAGCTGACCTCTGCAGAGAGTGAACTGCTGTACTAAATGAGAATCAAGATGGGAACATGCCTGTGTTTGCTGCAAATATTCTTTCAGGAAGAACTTCATGGAGCCTCTCTTGTGCTTGCTGTGATTTCAGGGTGGACTGTTAGCTCCTCCAAAGCACGATTTGAATGTCTCTGGCCAGGGACCTGCAGAATAAATCTCTCATCTTCTTGCCCTGTTCCCTGTATAGAAATCGCAGCTTGCTGTATTTTGGCTGGGTGTAGCGATGTTCACTGGGGAATAGCAGCATCAAGAGATTAGTCATAAGTATCACTGTGTGTTCAAAAAGATATCTAAGACCTGATTTTTTTTTTCCCCAGGATCACTTACCATCATACTGCCTATAACCTACTCAGTTATGGCTCCTGTTGATTTGAATTGCTGCTGCCTGTGCTTGGCACTCTTATTACAGGCCTTGCTTCTCAAGTTAGCTGTTGAAATACAAAGAGAACAGTATCCAATTAATTCTCTGAAAAATTTTGGTGTAAGTGTTTTGCCTGACACCTTGTAGGAGCTCTGGTGTGGTGGGGGAGGTAGAAGCCACAGCTCTGCAGGAGAGTTGGCCACATTAGCGAGGCTATTTCTTTGTTCCCTTTTTCTGCAAGGGAGAAGGAAGGTTCTTCCATGATCCTGTCCTTCACTTCACGTTTCAGATTAACTTCTGGAGATGGTTCATGCTGCATACTTTCAAACCATAGGTCTAGGGAGAGGAATAGTGCGTGCTTGTGTATTCAAAGGTTGCTTGATTGAGTATGGAGAAAAGGCACTGTCCCAAATTTGCCAGTACTAATTCTGACATCTCAATCAAGAGGTTTTGTGTTGGTACTTTCATCAGTCATCAGCAAGGCCAAATTTCCACACTTCCTTGAAGACCTTTGTCACTTGAAGTATGAGAAAAACTGACATCAATATAGATGAATGTGCGTTTTTACAAAGTGAGAAAAATGGGCTTACTCTGCTAGTAAGTTTTATCAATATTTACTTATGGGGGGTTCTGCGGGCCGATCTAGACTTTGTAGGAGCAGTGGTAGGTATGTGCTTCTTTCCTGTGACCTCCTGGTGTCATGAACAATCTCCTAATTCTCTTTCCCCAACTCCAACCTTTCTTAAACTCTCATTATCTAATCCATTTCAAAAATGTTTCTTAACTTGGTCTTAGACTCCCCTCCTTCCTTTCTCCCCCTGCACAGTTTGCTCTTGCTCGGAACTCCTGTCTCCTCCCAGATTCCTTGTTTGTATCTATCCCATCTCTCTTGTTGGCACTTTGTCCTGGTCTCAGTCTAAGAACCTTAACTCCTTCCCTGTCTCCATATCTGACTGATGTTCACCTTCATCCGTTTGGGTCCATGTGTCTACTGGGTTCCCACTTGCAGTCCTCAGGGTTCCTGATTTTCTTTGCCAGACCCTCTGGTAGCTTCAGCAGCTGAAGAGTAGCTTTTCTTCTAGGGCCTTTCAGCAGACTCATTTCCATAGTTTATTTGCTTTTGTGTGTGTCTTTTTTTTTTTTTTTTTTTTTTCCCCCTTCTCCCAAAATAAAGGTTTTATTCCTTTTACCTTCAAAGGGGAGAGCTGCTCCCCGTTCTGAGGAGGCCCAAAAGACTCGCTAGCAGGAGGTTTCACGCTCATTTTTCATGCTCAAATTTTTTATTATCAGTCAGATTGAATTTCCCTGTTCTGCTGGATAATGCTAGAGCTTTGTAAAGGGAAAAAAAGTGTGATTTTTTTTTAACTTGGGCAAATCATATCTCTTCAAAATTGGATGAGTCATTTGAACTGAAATGTTCAGTAAGTGCTGAGCAGGAAGCAACATCCAAACTAGACTTGTGTAAAGTTGCAAGTAGCTGTTGGAACAGTCACTTACAAGGAAATGCTTGATAACCCGCAGACAGTGCTCTTAGTTTTACGTTGTTCTTGATTGCTGCCAGTATGTCCTCTCTGTGCTGTGAAATTAATCATGGGAGAGCAAACATACCGAGACATAACTTCTGTCCAAGCCTTACATTTCAGGTGGGATGGGATTCCTGCAAGGAGTGATACGGAAACTTGTCCAGGCATAAGGGTGCTTGACAGTGAACTTGATACTTCATGATATAAAGGAGAGATGAGAAAAAGGTGGAGTAGGAAATGAAAATAGTCAATGGGGAAGAATCGCAGTAGGGCCTAGTGTGCAGCCATCCTCCTTGCCAATAGTCCTGCTTTGGTTCTGAGCAAGTTTCAGATGTCTCTTGGTCAACTGTGTAGTCACTGCAGACTTTCTATGTGTTACACACAATTAGAGTCTAAAAAAAGCGTTTGCATACTTGGTGAAGCCTCTGTCATCTTGGTTGTTAAGGGTTATTTCATAAATAACAAACTCTGTGACTTCATACCAATGCCAAACTTGCATAACTGTGTCTGATAGAATTTCCTATTAAAATAATAAAACAGCATTGGCACCTTTCATGTCTGTTCTGTGGAACACAATAATTACATAGATGCTTTTGCAGTAACTGGAGTAGCAGTCTCTGGAACTTTCTTTGAAATATGCTTACAATTATAATATACTGCATTTGTCTTTTGATTCAACTCATTTATAATGGAAATAACCTCATGGAACAAGTCTCTGTCTTCTAGGAGTTGATATGTCTGAAGTAGCCACTGTATTCTGTTGGCAAGCCCAGTTTTACTGCAGCTGTTTCAGTGACTCCAGACAGCAGACTAGAATACAATATATCTTCTGGAATTAATGTGATTCTTTGCTTTTTAGCTATGGAGTCTTGATCATCAGTGACTTTGAAGCTTCTTTTGTCTCCTCCAGGGAGAGACACCGGGGAGGGATTGCTCCTGGATTTCAGGTGGTACATCTGAATTCAGTGACAGTGGACAACCGCCTAGACAATCTGCGCCTAGTTCCTTGGGGGTGGAAACCCAAAGCTGAAGAAATCTCTAGTAAACAAAGGTATGTCAATATTTGGCAGGGGTTTGCCATCCACAAAGATTTAAATTATCTTAAATTGTTGTGTCCTTCCTTTAGTCATTCTCATCTTGGCAGAGCTTTTTTTTACTTGACCTTGGGTTACTTATACATCACTTACACCTCTTAGCTTCCTTACCTGAGGAACAGAGTTAATGCACGCTCTTCATGCTGGCTGTGAAGGGACCATCTAACCCCATGGCGTTATTATGTAGAGGTCCTGCTGTGCCAGATGTTGTCACCACAGTGAAACAAGAAGCCTGCATTCCCTTCCACTTGAGTGATGGTGATGGCATCTGGGCATGCTGAATTAAGTCTGCAGATGTTACTGGCTTGTGGCTCTCGTCCTCAGGCACTGAAATTTGAACACAACCTGTAGAATCCAGCAGCTGCAAAATGCTTACACTTGTAGGGATGTATTTAGGTTGAAACCAAAGTGAGTTCCTGGGATCACCTTTCAATAGTAGGCTGTAGGAACTTCCTATGTGCTGTGTTGCATTAATGTCACTCAAAGCACATCAGACTTGATGTCCGGATGGATTTGGTTAATCTGTGGTGTAATGCAGGCACATTCATTTTTGGTGGGAGATACATTGACCTAACTTCGCGCTAGACACTTGAAACACTTGCAGCACCTATAAAATGGGGATGTTCAGAGCTTATTAAACTGATTTTGAGAAGCTGTAGTGAATGGCTGTGATGCTGCAATGATGCTCGACTTCAGGCCATTTACACAGAACGAATTTTGCTTGGTGTAAATGTTTCCTGATAGACACTTTTTAACTTTTTTTGCATTTAGGGTAATATAACCCTACAAATGTCCAATATATGAGTAGTATGTGTAATCTGAGGCTTAACAGGCTAGATACAATGTTAACCCTACTTAATTTGGAATTGATTTCCCTGTATGCTTATTATGAATTTATGGACCAAATTTGTGTGTTTTTTACAGGGAACAAAGTCTGTATTGGCTGGCAATCCAACAGCTTCCTACAGATCCTATAGAAGAGCAGTTTCCTGTACTGAATGTAACACGATATTACAACGCTAACGGGGATGTTGTGGAGGAGGAAGAGAACTCATGCACATACTATGAATGTCACTACCCCCCATGCACAATGATTGAAAAACAGGTATGTTCAAAAGAATTGGAAGTAAGCATGTAATGACTGCGGCTACCGTGTGTCCCCCAGGATTTGTTCCTTAACATGTAAAGCTTTACATGTGCCATTCAGTTGCTAAAAGTGATAATTCTTTTTAACTCGGGTTTTCTTTGGCACGAGTCTTCAGACCCTACAATAATTTTCTGTTTGAGATAATATACTTCTGAATTGGAACAGTAAATGACCTAGTGGATTACTGGGAGGAGCGTCATTTGTGCAGAGTGTACAAAAAGACAGGTGGAGGCATTTCTCTAGGGACCCAGAGCTGGAATGAGCAAGCAGCTGTATGAGACAGGAGAAAGCATTGTAAGAGGTTTTGGGTAGTAGTGGAATCAAAAAATAACATGCTTAACCTTTCATGAAAAGAGAGTGAATCCGAGAGGCCTTTTTTTCAGGGGAGAACTGGGAGGAAAGCTGATTCTAGTACTTCGCTGCAGGTAGATGAAATGAAGCAACATATATAGTCAGAGAATGAGATGTCCAAGGGCTGTGCCTCTTTGTCAGACAGATGTCCTTATCTAGGAAGGGCTTTTCTTGTGATAACAAATGCTGAGTAGGATAAAATCATTATGTTTCACTTTTTTCTTTGTGGAAGGGAACACTTGGAAGAACAGTCTTAAATACCCTCTATTTGAAAAAAAGAGTAAGATTCACCTTTTATTTGGGTCTGCATATGAAAGCTTTCTGTATAACTGCAAGTTTGGTAATGGCTGAGCTTGTGCAGCCCTCCTGATCATTTCTGAATTTAAGATGTTTCTAGTTGATGAAGCAGTAGCATTGTGAGAATAAATGTGAAACACTCAAAATATTTTGTCTGTTAAGCCCATTCTGCAACAGCAACTGTAAAATCAAATAAATGCAGCTGCTTTAAAACCTTTTGATACTCTGGCACTCATGGTGGGATGTTCATATTTGTGATAGGTGTGAAAGGCCTGATTGTAAACCTACTTGGGAAATGATGTAGGGGTGCTCCTTGGCCCTGAGCAGGCTCACTAACGCCGTCTTGTGTTCTTCCCAGTTACGTGAATTCAACATTTGTGGCCGATGCCAGGTAGCGAGGTACTGTGGGTCACAATGCCAGCAAAAAGATTGGCCTGCTCACAAGAAACACTGTCGGGAGAAGAAACGGACCTTCCAGCAAGAGCTCGGACCAGAACGATGACCGGGTGGCACAGGCCTCTCAGCAGCAGGATTCCTTCTCAAAGGCATTGGACTCTTGCTTTTGCACAGTAATGACAGACTGCTTATTGAAGCCAGAGGCACTGAAGAAGACAAACCCTGTGATGCTTGAGCAGAATGGCTGACTGGACAAAGCCAGCTCTGACTGGTGCTGTGGAAAGGGATTGGGTCTACCCTTCCAGTATTATATTCTCAAGCAAAAAGACTACTGTGGAGGCTCCAGGCAGGAAGCTTCTCATTATTTATATGTTAATACGTTTGTAAACTCATGTACAGTTTTTGTTAGAAATTCTTGATAGGACTCATTAACTGTAATGTTCAGATGAGAACACATTGTTGGCCTAAAAGCTTAAAAAAAAAAAAAAAGTCATGTAGCAAAAGCTTTTCCTCCCATGTGGCTAGTAGTATCTGTGGCAGTGCCAAGGCCAGAAGGCAGGCTCCGACATCAGCAGATACTCTGGAGAACTCTGCATGGAAGTTTTATTTAAAAAAGGAAAAAAAAAAAAGGGGGGGGTGGGGAGGGGGCAGGGAGGGGCAAACAAACTAAAGGTTGGAATGAATCATTGTCTGCTCTCTAGCTTTCTCCCGTTCCCTTCCAGCTGCTTTCAGAGCACAGTCACACTTGGACGTTGAAAATACCTACTCAGTAGGAACCAGTGCACCAGAAACTGGAGCGGAGTGTAGGGGACCATCTGGGATCTGTGCATGCAGGCAAGCTGTAGCGTGTCGCTGCCTTCAGAGAAGGGCTGCTGGAGATTGTGCGTTAAGCAACCAATATTTTTAGAAAGCTGAATTGGCTTTCTTGTTATGAAACCTTTGTATATAAAGTAGTTGTAGGGAAGCTCAGGTAGTCAGCTGTGTGTGGATGTGGTTGCCCTTGTGGCTTCCCCGTAAGCATAGCAAATACTATAGTGATGTGCAGAAATGTTTAAATGATCTAATATTTGGTAATTTGAGTTATTTATTCATTTTTTTAAAGAGATGCCATCAATTCAAGGATCACTTTTTAATTTTTTTTATGTAGTAATGAGTAAAAATAATATAGGAGGAGGATTTGACTTACTGAGTACATGCCTGTTTTTCTTTTCACTTTGTCGTGCATAATCTGAAAGTTTTGGGTTTGTTTTTTTTTTTTTTCATTTTTGCCTTAGAAAGGAATGCCGACTGAAGTTTCCTGAAGAACCAAGTGGATAATTTAGTGCCAGGTGTTAGTCTTGTTTCACAGTAGAAGAATGTGAGCTGCTGACTTTTTAATGCAGAGCCTTTCTCGGAGTACTTAGTGAAATAGGTGTTTAAAATTTTTTTGTAAAAGCCGTTAAGAACTTTAATTTTTCAGTCAGGATTCACTTTGCCACTTCATGTTGCAATGTTGGTCTTGCTTGTATTCAGTTTGCTAGAAAATTGAACTGCTGTGGACTTCCAAAATTATATTATGTTTCTAATATCTGCACAGGAAGTTCTTAATTATTAGCATTTGGGTGGGTTTTCATACTTTGGCTTTACGCATCTTAGGAAATAACAAAGAACTACTGAAGCTTCCTGCTGGAAGTTCACTTGGTAGGCACATTGTCAAGCTACAATTCTTAAATCGTGGTTATACTGTAACTTTTCTGTTTAGGCAGTCTAAAATGTCCTTAAGTATGAAGTAGTCAGGCAGGAACTAATCAGACTTTCCTGTAATGGGTGATTTTTTTTTTTTTTTTTCCTAAGGAAACACTCAATTATTTGCTTTAAATGAACTGTACAGTTTTTGATGAACATAAAATGGGACACAAGGAATATTTTTTTTTAATTGGAGGTAATCTGTTGAAAAGGGCAGAAGTATTGACTCTTTCTTCTTGCCTTTTTAAAAGGCTGCTATTTGATGTGCCAGTTTTCCACTGCAGTACCAGTTATCACGTTTAGCAAACTGAAGTGCAGTCCTAGAGCGTTCAAACACTTCTGCAGCACTGAGCAGGGAAGATGGTTAGTTCTGATGTTTATAATGTTGCTGCAGTGGGAAATGAGGACAAAGACTGCAGATGAAGTCCTGATGGGGAAACGGCAACAGGTAGATTCTTCTGGAGCAGCAGATGAAAGGGATGGAGGAAGGCTGAGACTCGAGCTAAAGAGTCTGCAAAACTAGGGTGGTACCTGATCCCGATGAACGTGGGAGGGAAGGGGATGGAGATGGAAGGAAGGGGTGAAGCGGGTGGGGAGTAAAGTTGCCCCCTGCTCTGTTAGACCATCGACCAAATGAAAAGTAAGGAGTTGCCTGGACATCCTGGAAGGGCTGGGTGAGATAACACAGGTTCTGACTTCTGTGTGTGACCTTTGATTCCAGACTGTCCTTGTGCCAGAGGAGGGAAGTGGCTACAGGGATTATGACTTTAGAAGGGTCCTGGGGACTGCAGGAAGCATGTCACTGCCTGCAGAACAGCTTTTCCCGATTGGTGTGGGAAGCTGTGTGATCAGCAGTTCTGGCAGAAGATCTCTGCAATTTACAGAGTTCTTAGCTTTTTGTAAGGTGTGTTGGAAAGGAACCAGTTACACTTGAACATGGCAGCTCTGCCTCATGCAGCCTATATGGTTTTTCAGAGGAAGAACTTCTCATAAAGGACCTCCTTTCCTCTCTTCAAGAAACCAGGCTGAGGCGGATATCCTCATATGGGCAAGTATTAAAAAAGCACAGGGTTAGAGTACATAGTCATTTATCTTGGGGCAGGCCTGTGCAGTACTGGTAAGTGAGCTGACTTCAATGATTTATCCTGATGAAGATCCACTCCCTTTAAGATGTTTCCTGCAGGGGAAAAAACCCTACAGCTGTATCTTTTATTCCTTGTCTCTCTGAAGCATGGAGTACACACCCCTGATTCACCTATGGACCAAAACAAGGTTTAATGAGTCAGGTTTCCTAGATAGGAACATCTGTTTGGAATAGGAGCTCCAGAGGACTTTTGGGGAGAGATGTGGTCATGCTTCCTGGGCTATGAAGAGTATGGAGCAAGAGAAAGAGAACGAGCAGTGGGTTAGGGTATTCTGCACCTCTGCAGCCTGTTGTGCAGCCATCTATCTGCGCAGTGATGCCTGCCAAGCTCTTGAGGATCTGCTGGTTTGTGTTTTGGGAGGCAGAATTTGGCTGTTCAGGTCAGTGCAGTCCTGCTGGCTTGGCTTTGCTACCGTGTCCTTGTGAACGCACGTGGCATCTTGTGCTGCTGATGGGGGGTGTCGGTGTGAAAGTTCCTGCTGGTGGGTCATACTGGTTGCTCTTGAGTCACCAGGAGTGGGTGAACATTTGTCTGGTGTAAGCCAGTTCCAGGAGGAGCCCATGGGCTTCCTTTTGGCAGAGTAGAGAAAGATTTCTGACAGTTGCAAAGCGGTAAATCCAGCTCATGTCAGGAACCTGCAGTGTTACTGATGCAGTCTGTAACAGGGGTGCACACACGTGTAAACGCACCATGAAATGTTGATACTTTCACCCCAGGTGCTCTCTTTCATATCAAAGTAGGGTGGTATTACCAGTCTCAAACATTCAAAAGTCACAGTCAAGCTGATCAAAATCATGGCTGGTTTAAGGAACACAAAATCTGAAATATAATGTATTTCAGGGCTCAATGTTTACCTTTTGGTACTTGAGCCTTTAATATGCCCATGGGATTATACTTACAAGTTTTCCCCTGTGGTGGTGATTTAAATAAAACTGGTGAAGGTAAAAGGGACAGCTTAAAAGACTCAAATGCTTGCAGGTAGCATGGAGACAGTGTAAGACACCACATTGGGGCCAGAAGCAAATGTTTACCACCCATCAAAACAACTGAGAGGACAAAAGGAGACTTGTGGTCAAACAGCTGTGTGTAGCATGTTTGTAGAGTTAAGAAGAAATCCTTTATAAACTGACCTTGTATCCAAATGTAGATGGAAAGAATAAGATTTGGCAGGTGAAGTGGGTTGGGGGGAGAAGATGAACAAAAGAAACCAAACCCCAAAATAATGCAAAGGAAAACGGAACATGAAGAGTATTCAAGTCATAAAACTTGCACAAATTATTTTGAAAAAGCAGGAGCACGGAGACTGCCAGAGTCAGTAGGTGTGATACACAGTAAAGGGAAGTTCTGACCTGAAGATGAAGTCTCAGCAGAAAAAGTGAATTGTTTGCAATATGTATTTGCTGTGAAAGAGCTGGGGGAGTTCACACAGGAATACTTCCATATGGAGAGCTCAACAGGGAATCTGTTTAAAACTGAAGTGCTTTTAAGAGAGATTAAAGTTCAGATGAAATGAGCAGCAACAAGTTGCCAGGACCAGACGGTGCCACCTACAGACTCTGAGGGAGCTGAAAGAGGAATGAGCTGAGCTACCAGCTGGGCCGGTAACCTCCCTCCCTACCCACAGCAAACGGGACAGCAGCTTCTGAAAGGAGTTTTAGGGCACAAGTGGCAACCACAGCCAGGTGAACAAAGCACTTGCACTTAGCAAATTCACAGATGCTGTGATGCTGCATCAATGCCTAAATATTGGGGAGGATTCAACAGTTTTTGTACAGGGAAGTTGTACTTCAGAACCATATTGGAATTGTTTTAATGGCATCAACAAGCAGGGGATAAAGGGGACTGGGTTGGTATGGTCTGATTGAGTTTCCAAAATGCAGTTGATTGTGACTTTACTCAAGGCATCTAAGGAAAAAAAGCTGCTATGGGAAAAGGGGGAATATCATCACATGGACAAGCAACTGTTTAAAAGACAGGAAAGAAGGAGTTAAAGGGAGGGATTTTTTAGTGGAAGTCAACAGTTGGATGCCCATTATATTAAAAATAATTGGGAAAAGGTAATGAATCAGGAAAGTGACAACATCCACTGATGAGGTTATTCAGTGTAATAATATAATAAAGGCTGAGTGAAGAATTGCAGAAGGATCGTATGAGACAGACTGGTAGATGAAACTTGGTGTCAATGATTGTATCTTTGCTTATGGGAAAACACCACAAGACGAGCCCTTAGCTGACTATTTTCACTCAGCAATGAGACCTTTGGGTTGTGACACACAATCCTGCTGAAATTTCTGTCTGGGGAACAGCAGCAAACTAGGCTCAAGGAAAGGACGGGAAAGCAGAGACCAGCACAGTGGCAGAAATCGGCTGTGTGCTGCACCCTGAGCGTGCCCTACTCACCCTCGGTCTTGGAAAGGGGAGAGGCTCAGGGCAGGGAACGGGATCCCTCCGTGGCCCAGAAGAGCTTCTGCCAGGGCACAGCTATGTCGACTGCATCTCGACTCTGGAAGAGAGATGAGCGACAGGGATTTGAGGAAAGTCTCTACGAGTGGCAGAGGGAGGATTGCCAAGGGAAGACTGATGCCGATTTTTTCTCTGATGAGCAGCCGCTGGGTTAAAACTGAGCAGAGGTCCTTCGCCTAACGCGCGTTTGAGCTGCAGCCCCCTTTCCGCAGGATGCGGTGGGTGCAGAAAGCCTTTGGAAAGGGACGTTAACGGCGAGACCCCCACCCGAGGGCGGGTAAGGGCGAGGCTCGGCACGTCCCCGAGCTGCCTGCGCCGACGAGCAGCCCCGCTTGGGCCGCCGGGCTCCTTCCCCCGGCGGGCAGCGGCGCAGCCCCGGGCTCCGCGGGGCCGGGGGCGGGCAGCAGCGCCCGCCGCGCCGGGCCCGCCCCGCGCCGCCCCTGACCGGGAAGCAGACGGGCGGCGGTTCCGCTGCGCGGCGGCGCGGCCTGCCCGGGGGCCGTCCCGCCGCGGCATGAGCCCGCCCTGAGATGGCGGCGCCGTGCCGGACGCGGACCCTGCAGGTGGTGGACACGGAGTTCAGCGCGGACGCGGTGGAGTGGTGCCCGGTGGAGGGCTGGCACAGCATCCTGGCCTGCGGCACCTACCACCTCCGCCCGCCCGCCGCGGTGAGCCCGCCCGCCGCCGCACCGGCGCTGCCTTCCACCCCCCCGCCGCGGCCACCGCGCCCGGGCTGGGCGGGTGTTTCCCGCCCTTGGCGAGCCGCCTCAGCGACGCCCCGGCCCCGGTCCCCTCGGTGGCCGCGGCGTGTGGGGCTGAGCGGGCCCCGCCGGTGAGCGTGGCAGGCGCTGAGGGAGCTGTGGCACCTTCAGTTCCTCACGGGAGCGACTTGCCGAGCAGGAGCCCTCAGCCCTGCTCCTGCCGCGGGCAGGATCTCGGGTGGGGAGAGGTCTGGGGAAGGTAGAAATGCTGCTAAGCCTGCTCTTTCCCATTTTTGATGTAGACTGACTCCCGTGGAAGCAATGGGGCCTGTGACCGGACCGGGCGGCTCTACCTGTATCACTACAACGAGGAGCAGCCATACATCCCGCTGACAGAAATCCAAAGGATTGACACCGCCGCCATCCTGGACATCAAATGGTAATGCTGGCCTGCAAGGCCCAGAGCTCACAGCAGAGTGGTCTGCTGTTCTGGGCATCTTCTTTGGCTGTTGGTGTGGCAGCAACAGTAACATTTACTGACTAAACCATCCCTGAATTCTCAGAGGAAAATATTCTCTAGTTTGTTCTAGTGAGCAAAGAGTGCTCATTTCTATGTTATGCTATTCTGTTCACTTATGAGCAGCTGGTCAGTGATTGTGGACCTCTTTTGTTTATATAATAATATATAACAGTTTTCCCCTATATATAATCCCCTCCACTCAGGTTTGTGGGATCTTGAGGAGCCTTAGATTTTCTTCATTAAATTTTTTTGCTCAAATACCTTCTCCTTGTACATCCTCGAATAAAAGCTATAACCTCCTTCTTATACGCCAGAAAGATGGACGTTCAGGACTTGTTTAACTCGATCTTTTAGGTGCCACGTTCCTGTTGCGGAACATCCCATGGTTGGCATTGCAAACTCAACAGGCGCTGTGGAGTTTTGCCACCTGACTGGAAGTGAGGTAGGTGGCTGTAACACCTGCTGCTGTTGAAGCTGTGTTTAACCCAGATTTAGTACATCTCTAGATTTATTAGCAGTGTTCAAAGACTTGTAGGAAAGCTGTATAGTTTCCATGCCTTCTTCAGTATGGTTAGCTTTTTAAATACTTATTTTGTCTTCTGATAATTTTTCTTGTAAATCCCACAAATTTATTCATGCCACTAGAGAGACTGGCTGGGCTCTACCCACTTGCAGAATGTGGGAGATGAGACGCACGAGAGGAGCAGAAGCAAACGCTGGAAACTGTCACTTGAGAGTATGGACTGAGTGGTAAACATAGTAGAAGGTGCAAAGTTGTTAACAGGGAAGAATTTTGGAGGGGGGTTTCTTCTGGTTGGTGAGAGAAGGGAGTAATCAAGAGAACCATTTCCACAGAGCAAACAAAGCAGAAGCCAGTTTGTAAGGGAATTTAACAGTCAGGTTATCACTTCTGCACTTCAGTCACCTAGAGGAAAAAAAGTTTCAGGGGGATTTGGTGGGAGTTGGGAAGCAGAAAGGTGGAGATCCTGTGTATAAGTATGTTTGCCCTTCAGCTAGTACTAAGCAATTTAATTTGCTGTGGGACATTTCATCTCTTCTTTAGTGTGGGACACTAATACGCTGGTCAGTCTCCCATACACCTGTGGTAGGAGTAAGCAGTACAAGTGGTGTTACATACCTACTGTCTTCCCAGTTTTAACCCTTTCCTTTTCTTTCCAGTAGAAGAACAGCTGCATGTTGGAGCCATGCTTCAGGGTCGATCTTGGTGCGCAGCGTCTGGCCTTGTCTCTAGACTGGTCCACAGGACGAGAGCAATGGTGAGGATGGGCTGGTATTGGAGATTGTTGCGTGTGGCAGTTTGCAGGCATGAGTTGGGGACTTGAATGAATGAATCTTTGGTAGCTTTTTGCAAAGTGGCTTAAAGCTTTCTTGATTCTAGATGTCTCCCTGCATCTTCTCTAGAAGTTACTATTTGCAGAGCAAGGGTAGCAAAGGAACAAGAATACATACTGTGGCCACTGTAACAAGAGCAGGGACTAAACCAGCAACAGATGTGAGGTGGTGCTATGGTGAGTGGTGGCAGGTGAGCCAGGGATGTGTCTTCTGTTGCTTTGCTAGTGGGATGCAGATGGGTCTGCTGGCTACAACTCTGCTCTTAGAATGGCTGAAATTTTAATGTGAAGTTCTGCTTAAGAGCTGCTAATAATGGCACGTGTAGGAAGTTTGAACATGGGCTAGTGAGAAACGGGAGAGAATTGTTTTGTAAGTGGTTCCTTCCTCTCTCAAATGCTCATACATTTGATTTCAGAAATGGCATCTGCATGAAATAACATGAATTAGCTGTACCTTGAAAGTGGTAGGGTATATGTTTTTTGTAAGTTAAGTGCAAAACAGAGTGGTGCCTTTGGTGTGAAGCTGGAAGCTGAGGGGATTGGGCAGTCCTGTGCTTAATGCTGTAGGGCAAATATTTAGTAGCTTTTGCTATTTCAAGCTGTTTCTGTTCCTGCTGTTAAATAACTAAGTAGAATTCCCTGTTCTACTTTCTTCTTCCCCATGACTCTGCTCTTCAAGATAAATGATTGTTGCCGTGATGGAAAGTCCCTTTAAAGCCTGTCACTGTTGTCATTTGAGAGACAAATAACCTCTTCTAGAAGCTGAATGTTCAGCCTTCACATCTCTGTAGGAAGGGGATGACCCTTTCTCTCTCTTGTGGAAGTTTTGGAGATTCAGTATGGTTTAGTAACTAGCATACAGTGTAGAACTGTGAAAAGAAGCCCCGAGCCACCAAATCAGTACCTACAGTTGCAGGTAGCCAAACAGAAGGTATGTAGTCATGTCAGGTAACGTCAGAAGATTTGTGCAAAACTTTTGCCAGTGCTCCAAGAACATTGTCTCCAGAAACTGCAGCTGTACCATGCCACAGGAAGAGAGCAGGAAATGTCAGGATCAGCCAGCGCTTCAGATGTTTTATTTCCCTGTTATCACGGACACTTCTTCATACTCCAGAAGAAGGAAGAGGCTCTCGGAGGTCCTTGTCAGTCTGACTTGGAGGAAAAAAAATCCCTCTTCACATTAAATTTGTTTCTTGATGTAGTATCAAGCATGTGAGAAGTCCAATTATACATCCAGGAGGAAGAAAGACCCAAGGCTGGTTTTCTTTCCCCCACATGAGTGTGAGGGTTTGCTCCCCCTGTGCGATCAGGGAATGGGAATCATTGGTATAGATGAATTTAAGATGGGATGGACTGAAGCTAAAGAACTGTGTAAATGTCTGCATTCCTTCCACTGTGCTACTGGTTTCCATCAATGTTTAGTTGAATCAAACATTTATAGTATTATGTTATCTGTCTACACTTTGGCTGCTATTTTTTACTCTAACAGCTTCTTAGGACACAGGTTTCAATAATTTCTAATGTTTTCTCTGTATTCCACTGTAGTGGTTGTCCTTTGAGAGTAATCAGCAGTGATTCAGAGGGGAAGCTGAATCTTTTCTCCATAGATGAATCTGCTCCTTCTGTGCATGTCCTGAACCAGTGGGAAGCTCACAAATTTGAGGCCTGGATTGCTGCTTTTAATTACTGGGACACCGATATTGTGTATTCAGGTCTGTAAGGACTGGGAATTGGGTTTAGGGGTGTTGGGGAGGGGGGACCTTGTTCAGGGATATGTATTCTTTGGGATTTTACGTTCCAGGATTGGGTACGCTGCTTGTACCACACTTCTTGAAAGAGTTGGTGCCTCTGCTAGGGGTAAAAGGCTTCTTGACTATGGGAAGTGGTTGGAGTTAGTTAGGAGAAGCTGTGCCTTTTAAACTGTACTTTTTCTGGCTGTTGGCAAAAAAGATGTTAATCTCTTGCAGTGTGCAAGAGAGCAGAGAGCTTCTGGAGTCCAGTCTTTTCTTCTTCTAAATTTTTTTGCTTGGCAAAGTGAGGGCACGTCTCTTCTGTGGTGATGAGTACTGTGAGCCTCAAATTGTGTTGGTATGTCTGTTAAATGCTAAGAGATTCTAGGACTGATAAGCATCAACTCTGTGTTAACTACTCTGCCTCAGTGCCCTGCACTGGTCATTGGGATGGTGTTCAGGGTAGCAGTGTTTTTTGTCTTTGTGCAGGAGGAGATGACAGCCTGCTGAAGGGCTGGGACACCAGGTGCAGTCCAGAGACTCCTGTCTTCACCAGCAAGAGGTAAGCAAGCCGGGCCTGCAGCTGGACCCTACAGCTATCGTGTATGAACGTATGGTGCTACTGTGTCCCTTCCCAAGTCACGGAATTCAGAGACGTTCAGTGGCAGTGGAGTCCTGTTTCTGCCTCCCTTGGGAAATTGAGACATCAATGAGACTTTTTCATCAGGACAATTTCAACTTGAAATTTTCTTCTCCGTGTCCTTCAATATAATAAACCAACAGCTTGCTTCCACACATGAAGATGGTGGTAACTCCTTTCTAAAAGAAGGATCCTGACTTACACTTTTATTTGGGGAATTTTTGTGTGTGTTTAAATTTGGTTATCTTACTATGGAATGTTTTTTAGAAAATATTTTATTCTCCACTGTTCACTCAATTGAAGTAATCTTTTTTCTGGTGGCATAACTTATCTTCCAGAATATGATTAAAACAATATACACAACCCTCCAGTGAAATTTTATATGTAACCTTAAAATACACTGGGGACTATTGCTATGGAAATATTAATGTTGTGAGTAAAGTCTCATGGGAATTAAGTTGTTGGGCTGAAATTCTTACGGGCTCTGAACAGCAGTTTATATTGGGACTGAGAGACTGTGTGAGTAGAAGTTTTGCCTTGGAAAGGCTGTTGGACTGTGTAGATGGAACTCTGCCTGTGTCTTTCATTGGGCTGAAATTTGATTTCACCTTGATGTAGTTACATGGACCCAAAATCCTTGAAATTCAAGGAAGAATCCCTTTTCAAATCATACATTGCTGTCTCTTCCCACTGCTGTATGTTACTCTTTTGCAGGCACTCAATGGGCGTGTGCAGCATTCAGTGCAGTCCGCACCGTGAGAATCTTCTGGCTACTGGCAGGTAAATCCCTTCCAGCTGCTCTTCACCAGTGTGACCAGCCTCCTGTTACTTTGAATGTGGTGCTGCTGCTCAGGGTGTGGTCTCTTCAGACGTTCAGGGTGGTGAAGAGCATGCGATCTTTCCTAATTTTCTTCTGTGCTTGTTGCACTGAATCAGCTTTGCTGCTTGTCTGTGTATTTATTTGTGATACGTCTCCAGCTATGACGAGCACGTGCTGTTGTGGGACACCAGGAACATGAAGCGGCCGCTGGCAGACACCCACGTTGAAGGTGGAGTTTGGAGGTTGAAGTGGCACCCAACCTGTGATTTTGTGCTGCTGGCAGCCTGCATGCAGAGCGGATTCAAAATCCTCGACTGCCGCGGAAGCATGGGTGAGTGTTCAGTGGGACAGAGATGCTCTTGCGCTGCTGTGCTGCTCTCCTTTCCTGTCTCCAGGTTAATGGGGGAACTCCAGCTCTGAGCTTGCTATAAAGATCCAGATGTTGTTAATAGCCATAGACTTTTATTCCAACTTGAAGTAACTCCTTCAGCTTTCCCAGACCTATCCTCACTGTTGGTCTGATCAGTTACGCAAAGGCACTGTCATTGTTCATGTGTAAATCTCTTGTAAATTCTTTTCACGGGAAGGAAGCCTGTTTGTTTTGGTGTGAAGGCATTATCTGGTGACATGACCATTCTGGTTTGTATTCATCTTTATGGTTCAAAGAGGTTCTTCCGAGTGCCAGGTGGTGCTTTGCTGTCAGCAGAAGTTACTGACCTGCTGGGGAATTGGCTGTTGCCTCAGAAAGGAAGTGCTGTGCAGTCTGGTTAATCTAGAATGACATGAATAAGCCCTCCATGTGAATCAGAAGGTATTTACATGATTAAAAGCTGTTTGCATTTATATTACAAATACAATCTTGCATAAAATGGTTGCCCATCCTGGGTTCCTCCAGGCCTTGGGCAGATCCACAGCTTGTAAAATGAGGATAGCATTTCTGCTGTATAGGGAATGGAGGAACATGATGTCCATTTAATATCAGAGTAAGCAATTGACTCTTCATGGGAAGAACACATCCACAATATATTAATAACCAGAACCTGGTCTGGCAACCTCACTAGTTATATTTATGGCTCAGTGGAGATCACTGTGTGATGTCTTGTCTTTCCTGAGCCCTTTTTAGGTATTTTGAATAATAAGGCTTTTAAGCCTCATGTACGTTAAACCCTCTTCTATCTACTTACTGAACCAGGGAAGATGAAGGCTAGCAAGAGGTGGCTGAAGAATTGTCAGGAGAGGCAGTAACTCATTTCTCCTGGAATGCTTAACTGTTGTGAAGAAGGCAATAAGGACACAGCCAGTGCTAGAATAGCTTCTGAGCAGTTTGCAACAAACCATTTCACAACTTGACTTCTGCTCATTTCTTTTTTTTCTTTAAGCGGAAAACATGGAGGAATGCATCATCCTCTCATCCTACGTCTTGCACAATTCCTTGGCCTACGGGGCTGACTGGTCGAGGCTCTGTCCGAGGGATTCCTTGCCTGCTACACAGGACTCAGCTGCTGTATGCCAGTCTTCAGAGGAGCTTGTGGGAAGATCAGGGGAAGGAGATGAGAGACTGAATTTGCGGGTCCAAAACCTGAAGATAATTTATGAGTCTCCTACAGCTACTTTTGATGTAATATTGGATGAGGAGAGTGAAGGCCCTGCCTTACCACTCAAAGCAGAGGGAGGTCCTAAGGTCTCAGGGGATCCTGAGCTGGTTAGGGGCCCTGATTTAAAGGGGAGTTTAGATTTGGCTGGGGGTCCTGACCAAGGGGAAGATCCCAAGTCAGCCAGCAGTTCCGAATCAGGAGCTAAGAGACCCAACGGAACGGGCCTGGACAGGAGCGGTGATTCAGCCAGGTCACTAGACAGCCCGAAAGCAATGAGCATTGTAGCAACTTGTTCTTTCTATGACAACATCCTCCATGTCTGGAAGTGGGAGATGAGCCTGGTGACCCCGTTGGGGACACCCAGTACTAGGTCTCCCTCTGAAAGAACAGTTGAAAGTTTGCATTGACCAGTCCCAAGGGAGAGAGGTAGGAAAACTCCTGTACTGAGAGTGACATCTGAGCTTATGCTCTAATTTCTGTTGGGCTTCTCCAGTTTTATTGTTGAGTTTGTGAGTCTTCTAAGGCCAATACTGATGGACTTACTGGTGTTTTATTTTCAGCACTGAGGAAAGCCTTTGCTTTGAGGCATGTGGTCAAGCACAGACACATTTATTTAGTTTTCCCCTAATATACTAGTTGAAAGTAGGACAGTGTTCCTCTCAAAGGCTGCTTGTTTGTACCTTAGATTTGAATCCCTTCAAGCCTGGTTTGCATTTGTGTGATCTGTTAAGCCCGTCTCCTCCTTCCATCACAAGCCAAACTTGTCTGCGCTGCTACGTGTAGACAAACACAGTATGTGATGAGAGGTTTTCCTGAATGTCTCAGAAAAGCCTGTGAGTAGAGGCTTAGCTGTGTGTGTAGCTTGCTGTGTGATCTGTAAACTAGTAGGTACTTTGAGAAGACACTCAAAGAAAGTCCAGATACTGACAGTGCAGTGTGCTTATAGTGATCTTTAGTAGAGAGAAATTATTTTTCAGAAGGAAATCCAGACTGACCGGTATGAGAGACAGCAGTTCAGTGACAGGAAGCTTTGTTCTGAGCAGGGCCTTTCTTGGAAGGATTCTGGTGTATCTGCACAGCCTAATTTTACATCAGACTCATTACCTGGTTGCAATCTCACTTTTATCACTCTCCAAGCTAAGCACAACCTGCTTCAGCGTAAATGGTGTAGCGAGCCCCGCTATGTTTCAGTGCCACACTAAACCAACCCCCCCTAGCCTCTTGGTATCGAACTCACGTTTTCTACTCTCCACAGCGAGACATAGATTTAGGTCCAAAGTCAGGATCTTTCAGTTTTGTAAAGGTGAACAGCTTTAAGATCAAAACCTCCAAAAAGTACAGGCAATGTTTCCTGACATCTTTTAAGTTCAAAATAAGTACGTACAGAAACCAAAATCTTAACAACATTGCCCTAACTACCTCCAGGAATGGCTGCAGAATTTCTCATGGTTGCTCCATTAGCTTTCTTTTTTCACTGTGAAATATCAGCAAAACACCGTTTCTGGAACACTTTCTTTGTTATCTTCCTAGAAACAAAAAACCAGCTTAAACTAGGTAAGTAACCTCTAGCTTGTATAGTTTCTCTTTGAGGGTCCTAAACAATTAGTTGTCTGGAGGGAAAGAAACACCAGCAACAGGTATCTATCTGTAACAGTGCTGCGTCTAAAACGAGGTACAGCAGATAAGAATTTTACTGCTTCAAAACTCCTTTTTCAAGGGTGAATGTGTATTTTAGAAAACATTCTTGAGCACTGTTACATGAAGATTCATATTAGTATTGTGAACAAGAGCTTTTGTTAAAAAAAAAAAAACCAACACCCTATTTTTGGATGTTTCTAAAATAAAATCAATATAAGTGATTAATCCTTGGTCATTTTGATTTTTACAAAGTCCTTTGCAGTTAGTCCTTGCGAGGACCTGCCGCCTTGTCCTCTGGTGGCTCTGTCTCTTAGAGGATGTTTGGTGGTGGTGAATGGTCTTGGGGAGTGGGAGTAGATAATCCAGTTTCCTCATGCCTTGGTGAGAACACAGAGGGTGTATCCATGTAGCAACAGGGCTTTTGACTATGACTCTGTCTTAAGAGGTTATAATGGTTTTTTATTGCTGTGTGACATTAAGAGGAAACAATCTGAGGTTGGTGAAGCTGGAGAGGTGTCACAGAATGCAGTCAGACTGAAGCACTTGGTTTGTGCATTATCTCAGTCCTCGCTTTGCTGTGAGAAATGAGGAGTCTCCTGTTAAAATCTGCCTTCACATAGGGAAGGGAAGGCAAGCGACTTGAGACGAAGCTGGTATTAGCATTCACCTGCCCACTCCCCTGTAACCAACTGCAAACAATTGTCCCTTCTGAAAAGTGTGAGGTGGAAGCTAAGAAAGTGACACCTCTGGAAGGAAGGGGGAAGCACCAGCTCTGCCAACAGCAGCCAGAGCTGAAGGCAGAAAACCACTTTTGTATAACCATTATTCAGATGAGCTGAAAAATAAATGAAAAATGCAGGTTGGGCTTGCTTAACTAGAAAACCTGTGCCTTCCCTCACCCCCACTATGTGTGTGATTGTTGCACCCTTGGTGTCAGCTTGTTAACAACTCCTCCATTTGCGGTTGTTTGGGGCTGCAGCACTAAGAAGCGGAAGCCTGTGCAGCATCCCTTCCCTGCCATCACAGCCCTGCTCACAGAAAACCCAGTGAATATGCTTCCTTCCTCCAAAAGTTGAACATTTTCATTGCGATTTAATTCTCTAATTCTTAACCTTTGCAGTCCTTGGTATGTAGGAAATCTAATGGAAATCCCCCCTGAGCACCTCTTGGGAGGGCTACGCCCTCCAGACACAGAACCATCTTGGAGGAGAATTATTTTCTCAAGAGCTACAGCACTTGTGTTAGAGAAAACATGTTATTTCCAATGACTTAAAACCATGGAGAATTTAGCATTCTACTTTAAATAGCTGCACACAACTGTTGAGGTAAGTATCACTTGTATTCATTTAATTTGATGAACATCAAGACACTGGTCTTCTAGGAATATATGGCCAAAAATAACAATTCTTGAGATATGTTTCAAACTTAGTTATCTTGTAATTTCAAGTAACTGCACTAAGGAACAGACATTAAATGTACCTATTAACTGTATCTCGATTTACTCTTAGGAGTAGTTTTAAAGCTTGGGAAAGTCTGGAAAAATTGTGGCATTTGATATAAGCTACGGTTTTCTCCTCAGCGAGTTTAGGGTATGGACTTCATAGAATCACAGAATGGTTTGGGTTGGAAGGGATCTTAGAGATCATCTAGTTCCAACCTGGCCTTGAACCCTTCCAGGGAGGGGGCAGCCACAGCTTCTCTGGGCACCCTGGGCCAGCGCCTCACCGCCCGCACAGGGAAGGATTTCTTCCTTACTAAATCTACCCTCTTTTAGTTTAAAACCGTTACCCCTTATCCTATCACTTGGTTTTGCTGGTTGGAGATGTCCCTCTTGGTTTAGTGGGACGCTTCCTTGGGGCTGGGGGTTAATCCATCAGAGTGTTCCCTCCTTGGCTGCAACCGCTGCTCCCGGCAAGGGGCGGCAGCACTGGCCTGCTCTCCACAGCCAGGACACCCCAGACCCTCCCAAGGAGATAACACATGCCTTCTTGGTCTTAAAAGACAGGAATTCCTTCTCACAAAGAAGGAATTATGCTTCAGCAACCTGGAGAGAAACTGCCTTCTGCTAATTATCGGCACCTGGTCAGTCAGCTCTTGTCTGGAGAGCAGGACACCTGCATGCTTACACAATGCAACTCTACACATGGTGCAAGACACAGGCAACCTCTCCTTGGTCACATGTAGGAAATGAACGGCCGATTTCCCCCCAGCGATTTGAATCAGACATTGCAGAAAGACAAAGTGGAAGGATTTGCTTTTAATAGCCAGTGACAGCAACTGTCCCATGTTTGCCGGCGCAGGTCATGTCTCACGGTGGTGATGCTCTCCACGGCGCCGGGAGCCCTGCCGCTCGCTGCCTACCGCACGTAGTTCTTGGGGAAGAGCTGGAAGAGCTTGCCCTCCTGCGTTGGCTCGAAGCCGTACTTCTCCAGGTTGTTGGGGTCAAAAGTGCCTTCCTTCACATCCTTCTTGATGTGGGGAGCCACCACCTCAGTGAAGAGCTGCTCGGCTGTCATAGGCGGCTCGGAGCCCTCCGGGGCGCGGTAGGAGACATACGGCTTGAGCTTGAAGCCTTCCAGGTCGGGGACGACGAACTGCGGCACCATCTCCTTGATGAGGATGAACTTCTTGTTCGAGGTGAGCACGCCCGGCCTCCTGGCCCCTCGGCCCTTGTTGTAGCTCCGGGGGCCGCGCTTGCTGGTGAACGGGGACATGCGGTCGGCGCCCCGCACCAGCCCGCGGGCCAGCTCGGTCAGCAGCCCCATGCCGGGTACCCACGGCCGCCGACCGGCCCCCTTCCCGACTCAGCCACCGGGACCGGCGCCGCCGCTCCCCGCCTCCGCACACCCCAACACCGCCCGCTCCTATTGGCCGAAAGGCGGCGGCCAATCCGCAAGCGCCCCTCGCAATTAGTATTCCTTCCCTGCCAATCAGCAGTGGGGAGCCAGTGGGTGGGCGTCGCCTGCCGGCTGCCCGCCCCACCCCGCCCCTCAGCCCGCGGGATGACCCTTGACCCCGGCGCGGCGGCGGCGGCAGCGGGTGAGGGGCTGGGGGGACCGGGGGGACCGTTGGGACCGTTGGGCTTGGGCGGATGGTTTTAATGTCCGCGTTCCGTAATCCACTTTAGCGAGAGGCGGGAAGCGGGGGCCGGGGTGACCCGGGGCTGGCCCGGGCTCTGCCGCGACCCCCCGACTCCTTTCTGTAAAGGCTTTTCCCTGGGTAATGAGCGTCGGTGAGCGTCCCCGTGTTAGTGCCTGACGCGTGGTTATAACCGGAATTTTCATTTTCTTTGAAGACTACGTAACCCAGAGGCGGTCTGTTTGTACCACTGGAACGTGGGCGTCCCCCGCGCCCCTGGGAGTTCGCAGCGTTTCAGGGCCCGGGGGAGGTTTTGTCAGGGGACAGCAGGGTCACAGCCGCGCTCGGGTGTTGGAGCGAAGCCCCGGTGCCGCTTCCCCGAGGACTTCAGTAGCTATTGTTACTGGTAGCTCTGCTTTTCCGTGAAGACTCGCTGGTTTTTGTTGCTTGACGCAGAGGAAAAGGGACAGTAAAGTACAAAAAATGTACCCCTTGAACTGTTCCGCCAAACTGGAAGAGCAGTTCTGCTACACTTTGCATTGTGGGGTTAAAACCAATTTGGATTAGAGTCCTGTCAGCTCTTAACTCAGTCTTTTATTTTTGTTCCTGCTGTACCTCCAGACATGGATGAAGAAGGCAACAGCACCAGCCTTGAGGTACAGTATGCTTTGCTATTACTTTTGAACATACTTATTTCTCTATTAGTATTTCCAGAAGCTGAAAGTTACTATACCTAATTTGATAATATTTGGATAATGTCCTTAGATGCAGTGTTTTTACTTTGAAGGAACTTTTCCTGATAAGAGTTTTATCTTTCCAAAAATTTCAAGATAGGTCCCAGTTTTTTGTGTATATTTTAATTATTTTTTTTACTGCAAACTGTTTGCACTCTGCTTCATATTCTAAGCTGTTAGCAGAATGGTACAATTTAAGTACCTTCTGCTTCAACAATACATTTTTAACCTGAAGATGGAAGGATTTCAGAGTTCTCTGACAGCTAGCTCTTCTTGCATTTGTTCTTAATCATAAATATGAAACTCATAGTCCAACAAGGCACGTGGTGCTTTTCATAGTAACGAAAGACAAGGCCCGTGACAGGAAATATTTCTTTGCAGAACTGAAAAATACATACAACCTACTCGTACATAGTTAAAAAGCATTTTGTGAAAATCCAGTATCTGTAGTCAAAACATAGGCATGTGGACCCATGTACTTACACGCTACAAGTCAGGCTGATGTTCTGGGCAGTCCCAGTTTTAAGGCCTTGCTTTCAGCACTGATCAGCGTTTGCCACCCCTCCCTCAATACAGGCTATGCCTCACTGTTTGCCTTTGATTACAAGGTGAAGTTGTTAAACTCTCAGCAGAGCTACTTGTTCTGTGCTTGTTACTCTGGATGAGCATTATTTATGTAGCTGTATATTTTTGTTAATTACTTTCCCATTTTTTTAATGAAATGTCAACATCATTGGAAAAAGCAGACAAATGTTATTTATGCTAATACATGCCCTTAGCATATAATTGCTCCATTTTCTAATGACACAAGGGTCTTTTCAGGGTTGTTCCACATGTGTTTTGTGTCTGAGACTTGTTTGAGGCTGTGTAAGGCATGTGTGAAGTCCTTGTATTTTGGTGCTGGCTGTCACCCTCCGAAGAGAGGTCCTGCAGGCTTGGGCTGGTGGGAGGGCCCTGTAGTGCTCTTGGCTTGACCGTGACCTCATACCTCTCTCAGATGCCATCATGTAACAATAAGTGCTTACATATCTCAAATGTCTGTATGGTTGCAACCTGTCTGCTTGCTTTCTCTGCTTTTCTGGAAGGATTCTCAGTGCTTGAAAAGATAACCCACCAATTATGTGGGAGGAATACCATGTTTTCACCAGTTTGTGAGAAACCTTGCAAGAACCTCCCAGTTTTTCTTGGAGGTCTGAATTTCTCTTTTACCTTGTTGTTTTTCTGTATTGAGGCATGAGGGCTCAGTCTGGTGCACGTGTGTGTTCCATTCTTTTGCTCGTGAATTTGTTGCTTCTCCTCGTGTAGCAGCAATGTGACTGTCAGTTGGCAACTACTATTTTTGATGTTATTTGAGATCATACAGACCTGGATAGTAGCAAAACTGTGCATGTCCCTAAGACTGTCAAGGGGAAATAAATTAAGTGACCACAAAGTGACTTAAACCAAGAACCTTCTGTATTTTACCAGAATGTGTTGCATTTGTTGCTAACAAATTTTCAACTTTTTTTTTTTTCAAGTTCTTGTGACTTTCCTCTGCAATCCCACTAATAATAGTTTGATAATAATAGTGATAGAGTTAGTTCAACTCATGCTGGGATGATAAATTGTTGATACACTGTGTTAAATCAACCTAAGAAGACAAACCAAAGACAGCAGTCCATTTGAGTTGACTGGTCAGGCAGGAGTTTTATTTGCACTGTAGAACTGGAATGAACTTCATGAGAGACTAGTTTGGTGACTTGCCATACACTTCATTTTTTTCTTGGTGACAAAGCTAAATTAAGAGGTCATCCAGATATGGAGCTGAGGGCAAAAACTGGGACCAGAAGTATGTGTAGTACTTACGGCTCAAGTACTTGTAAGGTTCAGGACTTATAGGGGGGGCATAGCTGTTCTTATACTTGTTTTGTTTCTTACTTGTTCCTAATAGTTGGCTTGCTTTTTTCCCCCCTGTTCTGGTAAGTTTTGAGCTGGGATTTGTGAGACTATTTTAACTGCCAGAGTTTTTTCCTGAATAACAGTAGTTGGCACAGGTCCCAGGACAGCATACCTGAGGTTGGAGCTTTTTCCTGTACCCATGATTTTCTTTTTATGATTAATTTCATCTGCTTTTTTTTGTCAGTCTCATGGAGTCCTTTACGCTCAGTCCTCATCCTTGTTGCTCTGAATAATATAAAATCATCAAAAAAGTTCTCAACTCACTGTTTGACCCTGTCTTAGAACTATTTAGGAATGTGTTTAACAGCCACCAACACAGAAATCCACTACTGACCCCTCTCCACTGAATGTCTTGTGTTTGTAAAGGGGGCTATAGCTGAAAGAAAGATGTTGGAACAATCTAGTTGTGTTGTATGTGCCAGACCAGGCATTGAGATGTTTTTATGGAGTCTTTTTGCCAGTCGTGGGGAAACTAATTTCACCTTCCTTTTGGTGCTAGCCTGTGTTACCAGCAGGTGGAACACAAATTCTTCAGTTTGTAGAAGACAGAATACAGACTACTATGGTAATGTGTAGCTTTAATCAACTGGATGAAAGGTTGTGTGTGCATAAATAGTGCGTAGCTTCTCGTAAGTTCTAGGAACTCTACTAAGTCACAGTCAAAGTGTGAGTATTTGTTTTTTTGCTGTTGCTGTGCATGAGGTAGGAATTAATACCTGTTATTTCAGCTCATGTACATTGACTTGATCAGCTTGCAGATCTGTGGGGGGAAAAATGCTGAATATTCTGCATGGGAGCTTATGAGTGAGATACTGATGTAGTTTAAACTTCTTGCATGTGTGGTGTTTTAATTAAAGATGAATGTGTTTGACTTTTGGACATCTTACTGAGCTAAGCGTTCTTCAGCCCTCCAGAAATTACTTAATAGTTTTCAACTTAAGAAGTTACTAACTTCTTTCCCCCCTAAATTCCTTTCACAGCTGACTGGAATTGCAATTGGAGCTGCAGTTGCATTACTACTTATAGCAATTGTTGTGTTTGTCATTTACAGAAGAGTGAAACAATCTAGTAAGTACTCAATAACTATGTATGTTTTAAAAACAGTTTTCTCAGATATCTTCAGTATTTTTGTAATAATATGTGGCAGATTCTATGCAGATTCATAATAATTGTTTGCTGTGAAGGTAGCTTTAAAAGCATGGAGAACTTGTGTTGATTCACTCACTCAGGTCTGAGCATGGAATTCCTGTTACATGCAGAACTCTGGAGATTTTTATTTCTCTTGTGTTTGATAGCCTAAGTATCAGTTGTCATGCAAATAATTTCAGCCCTGCTGCAATTTCACTGTTGCAGTAATGAGAAATGGGTGAATTAGAGGTTTCCTTTGTGAGATTAAAAAGGCTCTCTAAACAAATATCAGGATTGGGTAACTTTATCTCCTCTGCTGATTAGGTAGAGCCTCAAGCCAGCTCTTCCCTAGTTTGGCTTGGCTAACCAGAGTTGGATAATGAGATATCTTGTGTTGGTTTAAATGCCAAATGCTGGCCACAGGAACTTGCTGCTTGGTAGACAGGAGGCACAGCTGTTACAGAGGTAGCAGAACTGACAACCCGTGCTCAGTGTTCCTTCCCTCAGCATTGAGCTGCAGCTGGCTTCTGATGTGACACTTCTCTGTTTCAGAACAACTTCAGCCACATGTGCCTCAGTACAGATTTCGCAAGAGAGACAAAGTGATGTTCTATGGGCGGAAGATCATGAGAAAGGTAAGTGCATCTGACACGATGGGAGGGAAGTAAAGATCCAGTTCGGGAGGTGTTGTAAACTTTGCAGTACTTCACTTCCTTAGCCTGGCCCAGGGCCTTCAATCCATAAAATGTCATTGGAATTCTGGGGATGTTTCAGAACTCCTGGAATTCTGCCTGAATTGCTGGTGGAACAGCAATAGCTTCTCTTCTGGCCAAACCTTACCTCTTTCAAGAATATTTGCAGACAATGAGGGTGGTAATAAATCATTGAATATCTAACTCCTCTATGGTGTTAATGATTGTTTAAATAACTATAGTCTTTCTCAGTATTTAGGATTATATTCAAGATACTCAGTGTTTA